CTTTAAAATGCCTCTTTCTCGCATCGACAAGCGCTTCCTAATTTGGACGTTTCGCCCGGAATTTACATTAAAAATTTTTATTGTTCGTGCCGTCATGAAATTTCCTCACGAGAACACTCGCGAAGAAATAAAGCTCCCTTTGTCTTGCTTGTTTTTAATGAGCGCCTTCCACAGGCCGGATTAATTAGTACCAACCTAATCCAGTTAAAAAACAAATTTCTCTCATAATTTATGGAAATTAAAAATAGGCGCAATTATCGTTCCCTAAACAAACTATTTGCTGGTTTTGATGGCTGCGGGTGACAGGGATAAATGGCGCGATTTCATTTTTATCCCGGCTATCGTTATTTGCCAAACGGGCCGGTTAATTATGGCTGTGGGTAATTGGCAGAATTTGAATTATGAAAATCAATAAATTTCTTTATTGCCACGAATTTCGAACGTATGTGTACTTGCGCTGCTGCAAACGACAAAACAACGTAATTGCAAGTTTTAATAAACACTCCGCAAATATATAGGGTTACTCACCTGGAATAATGAGCCCGCAGAAATTTTAAAGGCAACCAGCAATACAGCAGTTCGCAGAAATGTGAAATATTCCTTTTAGTTACAGCCCCGTAGCTACGGGGGGGCAAGAGGGGGCCTGAGCCCCCCCTAGCAGTTGTGGTTGCCCCCCCCCCTGGAAGACTTATACATTATAAATTTCAAATTAGTAATAAAATTTCAATATAATGCCAATTGCCGAAGCATATTAACTGGCCCCACCCGCCCCACCTTTATTTTCGTACAGGGTATATTATTTGGCAATATCACCCTACCGTTGATGTTGACCGTATAAAAAAATGAACATGTCACATTTTATTCCATAGCCTACTATGTACTTGAGAAAAGTCAAAAATATTATATGGATTTTCTAAAAATTGAGCTTTTATTGAAATGGACAAAAAATAGACAAAAAATTCTGAGATATAGATCTCGATGAGCTTAATCCAAAAACATAAGGTCTTGATGGTCCCAGACCAAGATTTTTCAAAAATTCGGTTCCAAAGTCGACATTTCAAAATTTCTGAAAAATTACATTTCTTTTGGCGGCTCTGGAAAAATTGTACGAATTTTCGAAAAAATAAAACCAAAAAAAAAAAACATTTGGAGATCGAAATCAATAAAAAGATCCCTTCTGCTAGTTTTCGAAAATGCGTGGGAAAAGTCAAATTTTTTTTATAGATTTTCAAAAATTGAGCTTTTGTTGAAATTGGCTGAAAATCTACAAAAAATTCTGAGATGTAGATCTCGACGAGTTTAGTCAAAAAACATAAGGTCTTGCTGCTATTCGGTTTCCAAGTCGACTTTTTAAAATTTCTCAAAAATTATACTCCTATTTCTTTTGACGATTCTAGAAAAATTTTACAAATTTTCGATCAAATAAAACCAAAAACAACATCTGAAGATTGAAATAAATAAAAGAATGACTTTTGGTAATTTTTGGAAATGCTAAGAAAAGTCAAAATTTATTTAGTTTTCAAAAATTGAGCTTTTGTTAGAGTTGACAAAAAATTCTGAAATATAGATCTCGATGAGCTTAATCGAAAAACATGTTCATGCTCCCGGAGCAAAATTTACGAAATATTGGGTTTCTACCTAAAATTTCTAAAAAATCTCAAAAGTGACTTAAAAAAAGTTATTTCTTTATGCTATTGTGGAAAAATTCGACGAAATATCAAAAAAATAAAACCAAAAATAACATCTGTAGATCGAAATCAATAAAGAGATCCCTTTTGCTAATTTTCGAAGATGCTTGGGAAAAGTCAAAAAATGTATATGGATTTTCAAAAATTGAGCTTTTGTTGAAATTAACAAAAAATCAACAAAAAATTCCGAGATGTAGATCTCGATGAGCTTAATCCAAAAACATAAGGTCTTGATGGTCCCAGACCAAGATTTTCGAAAAATTCGGTTTCAAAGTCGACATTTCAAAATTTCTCAAAAATTACATTTCTTTTGGCGGCTTTGGAAAAATTGTACAAATTTTCCAGAAAATAAAACTAAAAACAACATTTGGAGATCGAAATCGATAAAGAGATCCCTTTTGCTAATTTTCGAAAACGGTTGGGAAAAGTCAAAAACATTTTATAGATTTTCAAAAATTTAGCTTTTGTTGAAGTTGACTAAAAATCCACAAAAAAATCTGAAATGTTGATCTCGACGAGCTCAATCAAAAAACACAAGGTCTAGATGGTCCCAGATCAAGATTTTCGAAACATTCGGTTTCAAAGTTCAAAAATTACATTTCGTTTGGCGATTGCTGAAAAATTTTACGACTTTTCAACCAAATAAAACCAAAAACAACATCTGGAGATCGAAATCAATAAAGGAATCCCTTTTGGTAATCTCGAACGTGCTTGAAAAAAGTCAAAAATTTGATACAGGTTCTCAAAAATTGCCATATTTCTTCCGTCGATTCTGGAAAAATTGTAAGAATTTTCAAAAAAATTGAATCCAAAACAAAACGATTTTTGGAAATCGAGATGAACAAAGGAGTCTCTTTTGATAATTTTTAAAAATGCTTGGGAAAAGTAAAAAATTTTATATGGGTTTTCAAAAATTGAACTTTCGTAAAAGTTGACAAAAAATTCTGAAATATAGATTTGGACGAGCTTAAAAAAACACGACAGGTTCAAGGTTCCGGATCAAAATTTTCGAAATACTCGGTTTCGAGCTGGAATTTTCAAAATTTCTCAAACATTACCATATTTCTTTTGGCGATTATGGAAAAATTGTACGAATTTTCGAAAAAACAACATCTGGAGATCGAAATCAATAAAGGAATCCCTTTTGGTAATCTCGAACGTGCTTGAAAAAAGTCAAAAATTTGATACAGGTTCTCAAAAATTGCCATATTTCTTCCGTCGATTCTGGAAAAATTGTAAGAATTTTCAAAAAAATTGAATCCAAAACAAAACGATTTTTGGAAATCGAGATGAACAAAGGAGTCTCTTTTGATAATTTTTAAAAATGCTTGGGAAAAGTAAAAAATTTTATATGGGTTTTCAAAAATTGAACTTTCGTAAAAGTTGACAAAAAATTCTGAAATATAGATTTGGACGAGCTTAAAAAAACACGACAGGTTCAAGGTTCCGGATCAAAATTTTCGAAATACTCGGTTTCGAGCTGGAATTTTCAAAATTTCTCAAACATTACCATATTTCTTTTGGCGATTATGGAAAAATTGTACGAATTTTCGAAAAAACAACATCTGGAGATCGATATCAATAAAAGAATCCCTTTTGGTAATTTCGAACGTGCTTGAAAAAAGTCAAAAATTTGAGACACAGGTTCTCAAAAATTGCCATTTTTCTTCCGTCGATTCTGCAAAAAATGTAAGAATTTTCAAAAAAATTGAATCCAAAACGATTTTTGGAAGAAATCGAGATGAACAAAGGAATTCTTTTGGTAATTTTCGAAAATGCTTGGGAAAAGTCAAAAATTTTATATGGGTTTCCAAAAATTGAGCTTTTGTTAAAGTTGACAAAAAATTCTGAAATACACATCTCGACGAGTTTAAAAAAACATGACGAGTTCATGGTTCCGTACCAAAATTTTCGAAATATTTGGTTTCGAAGTCGGATTTTTAAAATATGTACTAAACATGCAAAAAAATAAACTCAAACAAATTGGATGTTACCTATATGACCACTACACAAATTTTTGGATGCAGTACAGCTGTTTGCGAATCTACATTCTCTGTTTTAACCAGCATTTTAACCAAGTACCGTACTAATTTTTTGGACTTCGACAGGTTTTTACGAAAATTTAGCGTAAAAAATCGACGTTTCCAATTATTTTAATATTCTTTCAAATATAAAAACTCAGAAAAAATAAAGTAGTTATCTGTATTATTAAAATATAAATATTTACATGAAGCCCCCTCTGTCGACAAACTTGCCCCCCCTGAATAAGTTTTCTAGCTACGGGGCTGTTTAGTTAGTTTAGTTTAGTTCGGAAGGTAAAAAATAAATACCTTTTTTATCAAAGAAATCCAAATTGAAATTAAATTATTACTACGTGAGAAATAACCTCTGTTTAATTAAAGGTCGACTACTAACAATAAGACAAAAACGGCGCATTTAATTAGTTTTTCTCGTCAAACACTTTTCTATAGTCGACACAAAATTAATCACTTTTGTAGCGAGGTGCGCCTTTTTGACACCCACCTACAACCCGTAGAGAAAAATACCTGTTAAGGGCTATTCACATCGGCGTTTGTTTGGCCAAATTATTAATTACGGCGTTATCGGCGTCCTTTTGTTCAAGACAAATCGGAGACAAAGCTTGTTGTAAATTACTTTTAAATTAAAATTCACCCCAGCAAGAGATCACCTTAAGTTAATATTCTGTCACTTGTATATTCTGGCTTCCCGACAATGATTTACGACGTCGTCATTTCAGTCTCTCTGATGTAAGATTGTTATTAACATATTAAAATCTCTCCAAAATTAGAGTCTATTTATAGGTCTGACAAACGTAGAGATAATCCTTGAGGTTATCGTATTACAGACCCTGAGGAGGGAAACTGGAAATAATAACTTTGTTGAAAAATTAACTGAACTCATGTTCAGTACAAGTTAAAATTATATATATAGTTTCAGATTAAAAATGTCACCTTGACTGATGTTAAAACTCTCAATAACAATTCGAACTTATGTAAATATCATATCTTTTATTTTTTCGCTAAGAATATAACTTTGATGGCGTTAGTGAGACCTCCTGTATATGAGTTTTGATTAAAAAAATCCGAGTTTGATGATGCCATTAAGCCTCAGGAAGCCTAGCTAGTACCAGCTGTGCCCCTGGTACCAAATTATCCCAAACAGCCCCATCCTCTCAACTTATTCCACGTATCTTCCATCAAAAACCTCCCATCCTCTCGTCCTTTTATCCCTCACCCATCCCGCTTTTTCCATCGCCGCCCCATCAACCCGTTCTTTAATTCATGCACGTTGTCATCCTGTTTCAGCGGAATTCAGTTGTCGTGTGCTTACGGAGATATCGAGCACCGAGATGATGTACCAGTTAAGCATGCCTCGATTTCGCACCCCTTGCAGGAGCGCCGCGCGCATCCATCTCGCATGGCAGCAGGACTCGCAGGAATAGTCAGTGTGTGGCCGTCGTACGGGACCCGTCCCATGTGTGTGATGGTGTTCTGATAGCATGGGGCAGCTATGAGCAGTGCCCCGGTCGTATGGTGCTGGACCGCGCTGTTCTTCTCGCTGGGTGAGTAAAAATCCCGTTTTTGTCACGCGTTCTGGCAAAACTTTCGCTACGCCGATACGCAAAAATGTGTCGGCGCGAGGTCCATAACCTCGAAAAGTTGAAAACTGGGCCAAATGCAGCGTCGCGGATTTAATTCTCGCGCAAAATTCCTGCTGGGGTTTTTTTCGGGATGGAAACGGGAATTAAGTTTGAAGGAGCGCGACGGAAAATTTAATATCACCGCGTCAATTTATTGTGCGATATTTTACCTGGAAATAATGCACCTGATGGTATTTCAGGTCGGGGATTAATTGCTGGCGGAATGCCGGTAAATTGAATTCCAGGAATTTTAATAATGGAATGTTTTTTCAGGGCTGAAATTGATCATTTCTAAGTCGCTTTTTTGTCGCTGATTAAAAGTTTTTTGCGAGATGGATAAAAGCGTTCTCGGATAACTCATTACGTTTTTAAATTTTTACGTCAAAGCTGATTTTAACAGAGTTTTCTGTGTTTGTTTATTCAGGGACTCGTGTGAGACATTAGAGTTTGAATTTTTTAAAGTGGGTCGGGACGGCTGATAAAGCGCTGTAAATAGCATCAAAATAAACAATTTATTTAAATGTTGTTGGTAGTCGGGGACAACGCACAAAGGATTTTGTTTAAACAATGCGTTCAGATTGTAAATAATGGCCATTTTATACATTCGTCATTGTTTAGATCAAATTTATTTCGATGGAAATTGTCGCTGACATTTATTTAATTTTGATTAATTTTGCAGGAAACAACGAAATACTACCAGCTTATCGCGATATTTATAAACTGCCATCATTAAAGAGCATCTTTTAATCATGAATTTAACAGAAAATACTGCCGTCGTCTAAAATAATTTCCGGGTAAAGTCGTGAATATTTTGGAGTGACTGGTTAAAATTTCCGTCTCAACTAATTAACAGATTACAGAATTAGGGCCATAAATAAGAGTCAGGGAAACCCCTGAAGGATTAGGGCTGGTGAGGTAATCTTATCTACCTGTTTTCGGAAGAAGTGTAGATTAGTTTGTAACTAAAAATAAATTACTACTATGCTGAGACCACGAAACGTGTATGAAGTTTTCTAATTAAATTAATTAAGATTTAAAAAAATTTGTGTAATGTTAAATCCAAAATTTTTAAATTGTCTTGTTTATGCAACCAAATAAACTTTACTCAATCTTGAAAGAAAAGTAGGTGGCAAATTCCTTAAGCCACTAACTTGTCCTTTATAAAGGAGCTTGAAAGTGTAGGTGTAGGTGTTAAAACTTTTGGTTGTGTAAGCATAAATTACGGCCCTGTCCTATCTGTATCGTCGTCGTGATCGCCCAGACCGCCAACTTTTCTTAAATTTCAGCTCAGCCGCCATTGTTTCGCAGCCAGCGAGCCCAGTATAATAAATAATTGACATTTTCGCAGCACGTCCAGTTTTTTATCTCCTTTTTATTGCCCATTACTCCCCAAAACACCCACCCTTCTCACATGATAAATATTATTACTCTATTTAAACTCTCCCGTTTACGCATTACGTGGGCTTATCAGGCCCCTTTTGACCGCTGCGCTCCCTTAACGGCCCTTAAATATTGAATGACAAAGACACCATCCAACCCGATCCCATCAAACCCATTATTTTCCATCCGACGCGGAGCCCCGAATTGTTTCTTTGCATATATCTCGGCTCCGAGAGCAGATGTCAAATGCACAGACACATCGCGTTTTTATCCCTCCTGAATAAAAATGAACATATCAAAGCAATGAAATTCATCCGAATTTTGTGACAAGTGCAATGCCATCAGTATAGGAAATGGCTCCCTGTCGAGATTGCGCGCTGTCGCCGCCACTGGCCCGACTTCCCTTTATTCGTCGAGACATTTAAATGTTGTATCCGTGTAATAAATCGGGATGGTGCCCACGGCGTTTATTCCACTCAATTTTAGGGGTGCTGAGGTTTCGCGCATATTTTTGTGTCGACGTGAAAAATGCGAATCTGATAAATAAGGAGCGAATGGGGCGGATGGATTTTTTTTTAGAGAGATGAGTTGTGACGGGGTGAAGGTTCCATTAAGGGGTGATTGTTTTAGTGGGGACGCGAAAGGGGTGACACCTGGGGGATGTCCAGCAGGAAAGCGGAATAGGGAGATAGGGGACGTTCGCGTATCGTCGTTAATAATGGATCAGTCGAATTTGGTGCTGGCTAAATGGAAAATTTGAAAACACGCTAACCAACTATTTAGACAGATCCGGCTTTACATTTTTTGCGGCTTTTTTTCACCGGTGTTCGCAAGGGTTTAAAGATATTTTAATTGTTGCGAGCTTTGTGTTTTTACATCAAACACTAAGCTTTATATCGTTTTATTTAGATTTTCGGTCTAATTCGCCGTGTAAATATCACATGAGTGCTGGGAAGTCGATCTGGCGTTCACATTTGCTCGGAGTTGCTGCTAATTTAATTAAATTTTAGAATCGCTTTATTGATTTCGTCTAGTCGGAACTGCAGGCAAGTCGGTAATGATGACATTTACAATGTGTCAACAATTTTTGATTAATAATTAAGTTTGTCGAGAATATGCTACAAAAATACAAACGTTAACATTGTTTTTTTGTGCACTTTGTCATAGCAGTTGATATTTGTTATTCATCTGTAGGTGTCCAATTTCTCCAGGAAACATCATATTATATATATCATGGCTGTCTGTTTCAATTTAATAAGTGCCTTTATTATTTTTTCTGTGTCCATATTTGCAATCATTTACCGAATGTTCTTTCATCTGGAACATAATTTTGTGTTGCTTGTGTTCTTGAATTTCGCTGTATCGGCCTGGTATTATAATATTCGGAAGTTATCCCCGTCGATCGCTGTTATCACTGATAACATTCATAAACGTATGTCAACACAACTTATTATCCTTTACAACGGTATCACCTCCAAGCGTAGAAAAACGCTCCCCAAAACCCATGTTTGTCTTACCCGCCTCCATAAATTACCCAGCCTCCGAAATTAAATTACAAGCAAAATACTCCCATAAATTCCGGTCCAGTGGAATCTCATACTTCCTGTGACACACTACCATAATACATCTCCCCGGTTAATCGGAAGAATGTCCAGAAAGCAATCGAGGTCATTGTGTCCCCTTCTCATTCTTGAAACTTTTGTTTTGATGGAATTCGAGCGCATGTTTCCATTTCCTCCCGAACAGAGTATCAATATAAGTTGTAAATCACGGCTGTCGCATAAACCGCTTCCGAAACAAACTTCGGGAAAACTGAAAGATACGAATGTCAACAAAACTGTATCAGATTCCAATAAACATTCAGTTTATATAGGGAAAATTTTCAATTTGGGCTGGCACAACTGGCTTTAAAAGTGACAACCTGCATTGTATTACGTCGCGGTGTGGAGGGGACACACGTGTAGGGATTTTTCGGGGATTTTTATTGGTGACGAGACTCTTACTCTAGAGGTAAACAAAGCCAAGAAAATACAAATCCGCGGTTCTATTAAAAAGAAATGTTGATTACGTCATCGACACATCGTTTCCGCACTCTACGAGTGAATAGCTTACAAATGTTTTCTCTAAAAAATCCCGAGTATTTCTCGTTAAACAGAAATCGCTTTAACAAAATCACGGGAAATTACTTCTGCAGTCGGATTCCGGCCGACTCATTAACTTAATGAATTTAAAAAACTCGGATGCGGAACGATGAATAATGTTGAGGTTGTTTATTTTTTTAAATTTAACCACCGTAATGACGTCGCATAAACTGCGTTTTTTAAATCTCGTCCTTAAAATATTAACGTCAAAATATGAGAGCCGAGGCTTCATTTAAAGGCGGATATTATGTTTGACTTAACGTTCGCGAGAAGGTCGGCGGAAGAGTCGTTTTGTTTTGTGTGTCAACAAAACTTTGCTCAGATGCAAAATATTTGCTGCAAAATTTGCAGGAAGATAAACTTGTATTTGTTTTGGTACGCCGCGAGAGGCGGATGTGTGCAGTATAATTCATGAAACGAGACATTGTACTAAGCAGAATTAAATTTACCCCATGAAATGATAAGCGCTTCGGACAGTGAAAGATGTTAAAGCGACGACGTAAATATTTCAAAACCTAATTTAACCAAACCAAAATAAGCAAGAACCGTTCGAAGTGTAAGCTGGATTGTTTTGCAGGAATTTGAATTTCAACTGCGAAGTCGCGTAGTGTTTAATATTTTTGCGTGATTTTTTTTTATTAACCGATCGATTTCCGATCTTATTGCTGTGATTTTAGGGAGTTTCGGTATGTTAACATCAATGAGCATACGTATGCAAATTTCTTCCCCAAAATTATGTTTGTTGCCCGACCCCACCGCCGCCTCCGCAATCCGCCGCGTTTCCCCCAACATCTGCTCGGAAATTCCTCCGATATAAAAATGCGCCTCCACCTCCGGAAAAATGTCCGGAACCACGCTATTATTTAAAATCGGCCAATCCTCCCTTAAATACGCAATTCGCATTCGGCAAGTGCCTCCGCCTGGCTTAACTACGGAAAGCTTGCGTCCTGAGAACATCCCTGGCGGTTCCCAACCTAGTCACATACGTGACTTCCTACACAGTTTGGGAATCCCTGAACTGAACATTACGGGTGAAATAGGGATACTTAGAGTTTGAGCGTATTCTGCATGTACGTGCAAGAGTCTAATGGACTGATACGGGAGACTTTGGCCGAAGTTTCAAGCTGGGTTTCACCTACTAACCGAATGAAACAAATCCAGCGCGGGGAGCGATTAGCGAAGGGTTCCACGAGCTTTCGAAGGGTGGCTGTTCGGAAATAATTTATTAGCTTCTATTGCGGCAATTTCGGTCGAAATGTTTGACACGTTTGACACCCTCGACGCAAATACAAGCTTTTCATAACAATAATAACGATAATAGTGGTAATAAACGGCACTAAAAACACCCACGGCTTTAAGCTATAACGTAAAGGTGTTGCTCAACGCAGATCTGACAGAAAG